CTTCAACTTCGACTTCACGAACGAAACGAAACGAACAACTTCAGCTTTCTCTTCATCTTCGGATAAACATCTTGCTAGATACACTGGGCAGTCACCTGGAGGAACGCTGTGATCTCTTTTGTCTTCCGCGGGTTTAATATTGGCGTCATTTCACAATGGCTGGCGTAAGTGTTGCCTCAAGGGATATGCCAAAATGACGACTTCATGCTGACACGACTGGTTACTTCGCTAGATCGCAACCTCTATTTACAAGTAAGGGTTTACTATCAGCCTGGGAAACCTGGTCAACCTGAATTGGGGCTATTCAGCTAACAGTTTTGCGCTTGCAGCACCTTCATCAGGCGAAATGGCATGATGTTGAGCACTATCTTCGTCGGCGCATTCGGCTTCGAAATGTACGTTCTTCTATTGCTGAGTAGGATGCAGCTATGCCCTGATATTTGATCTTTTCTGTTTCCCGCCTAATCTGACTCTCTTCATAGGGCCTTCGACACCGTCTCCACCAAGGTCTGGGATTGCATAAACAGCGGCGTACGACTCCCCTCCTGTCTTTGAATATACCAATCTTCATTCCATGGCAATCAGCTAATTTTCCTCTTCAGCGACAATGGAAGGACATCAAGCACCGATATATTAACAAGGAAGAAGAGTGAACGCAGTCGACGCGTGGTGGCCGCTATAGACGAAACTACCGGCCGATGCAATTGTACAGATAATTGTTTAAGGAATAGGAATAGAGAACAAAGATGTTTCAATACCATTTATCCTAAACTGGTTCAAGTTTACAGAATCAGTCGGGATATTCAGCATTCAAGGCTTGCAAGCTTTCATTGCCGCCTATCTTATGGAAGCTAATCATATCTCACTTCCGCCTAAGGCTCAGACGAACTGAACTCATATACAACGTGAATCTACACACTGCCTGGTCGGGCATCCTAGCCAGCCGTATATTCAGCCGTTGAGATTCCAATCACTGCTGTCTTCTAACCGCTACCAGGAACCTCTGTGTACATGTGAAATTCCCGAGACGTAGGTGACCTTTCTATCTCGCTAAAAGGTAACCAGAGGGTAGGTTGTAAGGAAATAGAGCCGTAGGAGAATAATCGAATGCCCAAATGCTGCCTGTCATCGCCTTTGGCAGCATCGCCATCTTAGTCAGACGAGCTTCTGGCTAGCAACAACACCAGAAACTCCGCCGATAAGACGTTTACTGTCCCTCCCCGTGCAGAGAAAGTAACAGAAGACAAGAGAAAGACATTCAGGCCGGAGAAATAGTAACGTCAGATCGTTTACCGTCTGCTTTGTAACGGTAAGCCTTCCCCCCGCCGGCGGAATACTGGCCTCACTCTTACTTGCCTTCCCCCTCAGATATACAAACAACTCGCCACCAAGGAACTTATCAATCCCCAAAAACTGCGCCGGCGAGCTTTCTTGTTACACTCTCATCGGATCGTATGCACATATGTGTAAGCTAGGCGCACGGCAGAGATAATGCCTCGATCCCTTGCGGATGTTGAAAAGTCGCTCGGTCAGGCGCTCGTGGGATTCCCTGCGCGGTACGGCAACAGATACGATGATAAGGCGAGAAGAGAGCTTATAGAGCTCCTCTTCCGCTGTCTTACCGGCTACAACGACGACTTTCTACGGTTATTGTTCCCCGAGGGACCTGGAAATGGTTGCTGGAACCTGTCAAAGGCCCAGGGTCTGAAGGCTGGAGCGGAATATTCTGAGGCAGCTCGCGGCAAACGCTGTGGGCATACGTTCAAGTCCGGCGACGCAGCATACCACTGCATTACATGCTCGGTAGACGAGACATGCTGTTTGTGCAACCGATGCTTCAATGCCTCTGACCACTCGGGACACAAATTTTCCTTCTTCGTTTCGAGCGGACACTCTGGATGCTGTGACTGTGGGGACGAAGAAGCCTTCCGTATACCGGTCAACTGTGCTATACATACAGCGTTTGAAACCGATGACAAGGACAAGAATAAAAAAAAGAAAAAGGATGAGAACCTGGTCCCTGAGATGCTGGTTGCCTACATTAGAATGACCATGGCACGAGTGCTTGACTACTTTTGTGATGTCATCTCCTGCTCTCCGGAACAGTTACGGCTACCGAAGTCTGAGGCAGGAATCAGGCAGGACGAGATTGTTTCTAGGCTATCTGGAGACTGGTATCATGCCAGTGACCCTGAGGAAAGTGAGCCGGAATTCGCTCTGGTGCTTTGGAATGACGAGAAACATACAATAAACGAGGTTACAAACCAGGTGGCCAGGGCCTGTCGAGAAAGAGAGAGATTCGGACTCCAGAAGGCGAATGAATCTGATGAGATTGGCCGGAGTGTAGTCAAATACTCGAAGGACCTCCCACGGCTACTTGATGTCTCTAGGATCATAGAGCAAATCCGGGTCACAGTTACAGTCCGCTCCGCCAGAGACACTTTCCGAGAGCAGATGTGTGCCACCATCATCGATTGGCTTTCTGATATATCTGGTTGCCGCGTAGGCGAGGATGGCTCGTTATTACGGCTCATGATATGTGAGCAGCTGCTTCAGCCGTGGCATCCTGGAAGTGCTGCGTCAAATGCGGGAATTGGCAGCAAGGGAATTGACGATCAGAGTATAGACGATGGTCGTATCTACCGTGCTGTCCATATTGATCAGACTGAAATACTTGCAGCAGAAACAGTTGACTTGACTGACGCAGAAATGGAGGATACAGAAGATGGTGCCACACGAGCCGCCGACGACGACGACGACGAGGACATGGATGACGCAGAGGTGGATCAAGTTCAGCTAGATGTGCACGTTCAGCATGTCCTTGATGATGATCCAGAAAACCCTGATGAAGATGATCTCGACATGGAGACACGGGTAGACAATGAAGCTGCGGAATTTGGACTACCGCCGCAACCGCCTCCGCCACCTCCCCCGCCAGCGCAGCCTCCTCCGGGAGATGGCGGCGATCCTCTAGTAATCCTGCCAGTAACTGATGATCCGCAGTTCTCCAGAAAGCCAGTCTCTATACCAAAGACACCTGGAGTCAAGCAAAAAACCAACACCGCATCGTTACCCCATTGGGAAGAGAAACCTCGTCTATTTCATGAGAGGAGAAGTTTGCCCCATGAAGACCTACAGCAAAGGACACGGCTGGATTGGCTCATATTATATGACTTGCGGCTATGGAAGAAGACTCGTACTGACGTTCGGGAGTTGTATTTGGCAACAGTTGTCAATGTTCCAGAGTTCAAGAGGGTTCTAGGTCTTCGGTTCTCTGCTTTATACACTGCCCTGGCGCAGTTATATCTCATTGCAGACAGAGAACCAGACCATTCGATTATCAAGCTCTCTCTACAGCTATTTACGACCCCGTCCATCACAAAGGAAGTTGTTGAGCGTGGAAATTTCCTCACTAGCATAATGGCTATTCTGTATACTTTCCTCACCACAAGACAAGTTGGTGAACCTCACGATGTCAGTCCTACGGCTACTTTAGCAATGGACTCTGGATCGATCACAAATCGGAGGCTATATCATTTCTTCCTGGACTTACGCTACATCCTTGCCTCTGAGCACATCCAAAAATACCTAAGGACGGAAAAGCAGTACCTTTTGCAGTTTATGGATCTAGTTAAGCTTACGCAGGGTATTTGTCCCAATGTTCGGGCAGTTGGTGAACATTTAGAGTATGAAACCGATGCATGGATAGGAGCTTCCATTCTCATGAGAGAGGTGACAAGATTATGCCGAATATTCTGTGAAGCATTCCGTCCAAATAACCTTGTTGAAGGAGACAACCACCTAGCGGATGCAATTGTCCAATCTTCCCTAGCAACAATGGTTAACTCGATGGGTCTGGAGAGAAAACGGTTTGCCCAGGCCGAGATTAAGGAACCGGTGAGGTTCAAAACGGTGCCATATCTTGAGTTTGAGATTGATGCATTTAATCAATGTGGGCGTCATACGGTAGTTGACTTTGTTGTGGAGCGAGGAGCTCTAAGTTTCCATCATGCGCTGCATTATATCCTTTCCTGGCTACTGGAGTGCGCCAGAAACAAGCCGAAAGAATGGGTGCGAGAACTCTTAGACCGAGCGGTCTTATTGATGAAAGAGAAGTACCCGGTCACTCCATCAAATGCACTTGAGGCAGAAGATGTCATTTTGGCCATGTTTGATTTCCCTATAAGAGTATGTGCCTGGCTTGCCCAGATGAAGGCTGGAATGTGGGTTAGAAACGGTATGAGTCTCAGGCACCAAATGGGGCAGTACCGCGCAGTAATATCACGAGATGTTGCGTACTGTCGAGACATCTTCTTGATCCAGGCCGCCATGGCAATCTATGATCCAAGCCGTGTGCTTGCAACTCTATGCGAGAGATACGGGATACTGGAATGGATGAAAGGAGGATGTGTGGATCGACCTGGCTATGATGAAGGCCAGCATGTGGATGTTGCTGATGAATTTATGCATTTGCTGATAATACTTATATCTGAACGGACGTCGTTTTCAACTGGAGAAGACGAATCTGCGATTCAGCACCATGTCATCAGAAGAGACATTGCACATACTCTCTGCTTCAAACCGCTCGCTTTCACTGACCTTAGCGCAAGGATAAGAGATGAGGTTGTTGAATCCAGAGATTTCCACCAGATACTTGAAGAAGTCGCCACATTCCGCCCACCTGATGGACTCAATGACACTGGGACTTTTGAACTAAAGCCGCAGTACATTGGCTTGGTAGATCCGTACTCCACTCAATACAGCAGAAACCAGCGGGATGAGGCTGAGAATATCCTCAGACAGTGGAAAGCGAAATCAACTGGAAAGAGTGTTCAAGAATCCATTTTTGAACCTAAACTCGAGCCGGTCCCTCCTGGTTTATTCACTGAATACACGAAGTTTACACGAACCCCTCTGTTTGCCCAAGTCATTCATCAGTTTTTAGAGTACTGCCTCATGTTCAAAATAAGTACACCAACCATTCAGTTGACGCGGATCGAACCCTTTCTCCAGACGGTTCTCCATCTGACCCTTCTTGCTGTCTTGGAAGACCCAGAAGCAGATGAGGAGAACCCCGAAGCGAACAAACAAACCTTCACATACCATGCACTCACCAAAACCAAGTCAACACAAGTCGGAGACCTGACCATCATTGGGCTCTTTCAAAAGTTATCAGAGGTATCGACCTTTGAGTCTTGCGCACCCAAAATCAGGCATATATTGAAGGGTCTATGGAAGAATAATCCAAAGTTGTACTCTTCAACGTCAAATGACATTGTCTTCCCGTATGGCAACATATACCCATCGTCTTCCACCCCAGTGTCGGACAATGAAGCAGAACAAAAGAAGAAAAAGGCTCTCGAACGGCAGGCGAAGATTATGGCCCAGTTCCAGCAACAACAGCAAACCTTCTTGAATAGCCAGGAAAATTTCGACTGGGGCGAAGATGAGCTTGACGAGGCTGAAGACTCGCCACGATTCTCAGAAGAGAAAATTCGCAAGTATCCTTCTGGAAATTGTATATTATGCCAGGAAGATACCAATGAGTCGAAGCTCTACGGAACATTTGCCCTTATCACTGAGAGTTCCATATTCCGTGAGACAGACTTGAAGGACCAGGATTTCGTCAAGGAAGTCATCAATACCCCATCATCACTCGATAGGTCCGCTGAGTCTATCCGTCCGTTTGGAGTCGCAAGCGACAATTTTGAGCGCGTTCGACAACTAGATTCAAAAGGAGAACTCATAATATCGACAAAACAAGGCTTGGGGAAGGGCTTCCCTGCTGAACTACATAAACAAGGCCCCGTTTCGACAGGATGCGGTCACATAATGCATTATAAATGCTTTGAGACTTACTACGCGGCCACCAGACGACGGCACAACCAGCAAGTAGCTCGAAACCATCCAGAAACCCTCAGTCTCAACGAATTTGTCTGTCCACTTTGCAAGGCACTAGGAAATGCCTTTCTCCCCATTATATGGAGAGGACAGGAAATGGCATATCCAGGCGTAACAATTCGTGGATCCGACTTCACGGAGTTTATGTACAAGAAGGTAGATGGAATGCTCCGAATGTTTAGCAGATATGCTATACCAAAGGAGGGTGAAATGAACTTTGTTCCAGGATACGAACGGTATTTTTCCGGGTATCTTACACTGACCTTGACGCCCTCTCTCTCTCGCCATGCAGATACCCTTCTCTTATCCAGATTAAGCGCATCGCGAGGTTTTATACCTCATAATACTGGCCATGGAATGGGTGATTTTGGAGATCATTCCGATAGTTGGGTATCCCCTGATGACGATAGGCCAGTTCAGACTCCAGCAGACGATCCTGCAAGTCGTATGTCCCGAAGCGCGGTAATTGCAGAATTGCTACGTCCACCAAGAGCGGATGAGGAAGACGGGCTTGCCGATTCTAGTCCGTTTTCTGAACTTGCTGCTGTCTATTCGAGACTCCGGGAAACGATCAGACTGAATCGTATACCTTCGCGCTATGAATATCCACCTAGCAGTCTCCTATCCTCAGATTTAGTATACCTTGACTCCCTGTTCAAAACATTTGCTTATTCAATAACCTCTATTGAAATTGCTCAACGTGGTGTGGAAACAAAGCCTGGCGAAACTTTGGTAGATGGAATACCAGAGACTTCGTTAACACATCTACGGATCCTTTGTGACACTGCCCTATCGTACACCTCGCTAGGTCACTTGAACTTCCGTTCCCCTACGAAATTAATATGTGAGCTCCATGACATGCATCGACGGAAGGTCCTTCAACTATTCTTCGGCTCCCCTCAACTCTCGAACACAGGAATATCAAATCTTGCCCGTGATTCTATGGATGTCGACCCGCTTCTTTCAACCGATACATTTGTCTTCTTAGCCGAAATCTCTCTCTGCATGATTCCTGCCTTAGACATGGACATTATGAACTATGTTGAGCTTTTCTACACTGCCGAAATTGTCAAGGTGGTGCTAACCTACCTCCTTACGCCTCAGGGATTGAAGGCAAATATGGACCAGGCCGCTGAAGATCACACCACCCCAGCTGAATACTCAGTGGTGAAAGACTTCATCATGTGGGTAATATCTGCCTACCGGTCTTGTGCGTCCTTTGTAGCAGACCCAGCCTTGCAGGTTCTCCTAGATGGCATTGATAGGAATTATATACCTAAATACCGTCTCAGGGGCTGCCTCGAGGTAGTCCCGAAGTATATTCTTCCTTTCTTGCGGAAAACAGTGATATTACTTAATGTTAGACACGGTGTTGACTTCTCAGCAGCCTGGGGCACAGATCACTCAGATATGTCAGAGGTTGACCGGCTCTGTGAACTTTTACAGTTGCCAAAGATACCCATAATATTTGATAGGCTATCCTCTGCCGAGGACGGGAACCCACTATCTGCCGTCGTATGTGGATGGATGGAACATTTTTGTATTTCGAAACATGAAGCCAAAGCCGCCGGAACACCACCACCACGCCTTTCGCTTATGCATCCAGCAATCTTTGAGCTTGTTGGGCTTCCTTATTACTTCGATTCCTTACTCGAAGAAGCTACCCAACGAACTTGTAAGACCACTGGGAAAGAGTTAACCGATGCTACCATATGCCTTTACTGTGGTGAAATCTTCTGCGCTCAAGCTAGCTGTTGCATGGTGAATACACGGTTGGGCGGCTGTAACCGTCATCTTGCAAAGTAAGTATAATAATTTCTCTTCCTTTATTTTTTGTTTATGTGTTGTATTTGAATGGGGCTTAACATTTTTCCAGATGCGGGAGAAATGCTGGTATATTTATCAACATCCGAAAGTGCGCAGTGGTACTCTTGCATAACGGAAACGGATGTTGGAGGTTTGCTCCTTATCTAGACGTCCATGGGGAAGTTGACCCTGGTTTCAGACACCGCAGACGGCTTATGCTCAATCAGAAGCGATACGATCGCCTACTGCGAGATATGTGGTTATCTCACAGTGTCCCCTCAGCTGTGAGTAGGAAATTGGAGTCCGAGGTCAACAATGGAGGTTGGGAGACTCTATGAATTGTTAGGGCACTCCAGGCCTTGTCAATGATTAAAGTACCATTTTTCTACAACTTACAAGCAAGTCTATATTTCATTCGTATGCATAAAGTAACATATTACGGTCTATTTATTGCGTTTTATACATTTGATAAAGCCTTTCGAGAGGCGTATATCCTTCCAATAAATGATAGAAGAGTATCAATAACCAAAGATCTTAATGTTGTTTATCACCTTTTGTAAACATTCCGTATTTTCTTGCTGAACGATCTAGTTAAGCCCTTGGGACTTTCCCGCATATCACTTTGCTTACAGCGCAATTTGATAGCCTCGATCTCCCTTTCCACACTTCTTTGTTCGGCATCAATTTTCCTTTTAACCTCCTCGGACACATTTTCATTCATGTCTTCTTCACAGAGAGTGTTTTCCTCATATTTAGAGGTGATGTCCTCAGCCGCTCTAGATGTATTGCGAATGATAGGATCAGAGCCAGTCTCCCCTAGTGGGCAGACGACATAGTTGTACCAGTAGGACCCAAGGCCAACAATCCAATATTTTCGATCATCAGCGGCAAGGCTTGTTTTCGCGCGGCACAGAGTCTTCTTGCTTTCGTCAAATTTCCCCGTGCGGAACTGGATCTGGGCGATCGAATATAGAATAAGTCCATGGTTGAAACTGTCTGCCCATCCCGCGCTTTCAACAAGTTCCAGGGCATGGTTCCAGCGATCAATGGCGTTGCTCCAGTGGCGCTGAAGATGCGATACTCTCGCAAGCCCCGTCCATACAAGAAAGTTGTTGGTCCTGGCGCTGACAGTCATCTTCTCAGCGGGCTTGCAAAGTGATACAAGCTTCAACAGACATCCTTCAGCTTTCTGAAACGAGCCACGCCGGATGAAGCTCTCAGCCAGGGCTAGCTGTATCCTTATCCCCCCACTGATAGTCTCCCACCCGCGTGTGTAGACTATTTCAAGCTGCTTTTTCAACACCGCCTCTGCCCTTTCTGGATATCCCAGTTCGCAGTACAGGTCTGAGAGGTTGGCAAATAAGGCCATATGCCAACCTTCACTTTCGTTGCAGTGCCAGTCAGTGATGTCTAGAAACATTTCTTCGAAATATTGCAGTGCTCCCTTGAAGTTTCCTTGGTTTTTGAGAATCCTTCCTAGTGCTATATTGCGGCCTCTTAAAACAATGACTTCCATTGATGAAGGGCTCCTAGAGTCCAGGGGTTTCCAACTTTCAAGTACTTCTTGCGCATGTATACATTCATTTCCAAGTATCAAGTTTTCAGCATATGAAGATGTAATTCGTCCTATGTGGGCGTTCAACCGTGGGTTAGAGGACACTCTGGAGCTATGTGCTTTAAAGTTATTGACATGCTGCTCCAAAGCTGCATTAGAGCCAGCCATGTCGCCCTCTAGGCGCAGTATTTTGCTCCGTCTATGGGCAACCCATGCCTGTAAATAGTACTCTTCACTATCATGTAGAAGATCGCTGACTTTGCTCAAGCTTTCGCGTCTCCACGAAGCGGAACTATATTTAGAAGCGGATAGTAGCAATGTGCAAAATGAATTCTTGACTTTTGGGTATAATTCGAATTCAGGCTCAACACTGTCAAACTCATGAAGGACATTGTGAACGTGCTCAAGGATTTCTCGTCCTATATCCCCGGAGCTATCGTCAGCGAGTGGTTAGTATTCTTGTTGTAGAGAATGTCGCTCATTATATAACAACTTACAACTCGGTGATGTATTCACCGTAAGGAAATGCCTGGGCAACCAGTAGAATTGCCTGTGCCCTCCATTTTTGCTGTACATCGAGAGGCACCCGGTGAGAAGCACAGTACTGAACTAAGGGATGGACCGAGATAGCCCTTCCTCCTCGACTACTGAGAGTTAGTTGTATTAGAGAAAAGGCCAGCAAATTCTCGATTGCTTCGTCAAGCTTCATCTCGTCAGTAATAAGGTCGATAAGCTCGGGATCCAAACCCGCATCCACCGGAGAAATATCTGTGACTTCACCATCCTCACCCCATATTTGCTTAGTTGAACAGCCGCTCCGCAACATGGATTCGGGGATATTAGAGGCTTGTAGGAAGGAAAACAGTAGTAGTTGATGCGAAGCCCTCGGGGAGTCCTTTTCTAGCTGGCGGAAGTTAAGTTCCCAGACCGTTGCCACTGTCTTTTCGTGATCTCCTATGCTTGGGCTGATTCTCAGGACTTCATACTGTTTATTTTTAAACAACCGGTGATAATCCTTCAGTGATTTCTGGCGTCTCCGGATAAAAGCGCCAGCCTGGTCAATAGCCAAGGGCAGATATCCTAGTAGCCGGACAATTATGCTAGCTTGCTTGTCGTCATCTTCGGATGGATTTTAAATGGCAGCTTTCCCAAAAAGAACTTGAATTGCTGCATTTTCTTCGAGCCCCGAGATTATCTGTCCTGCAGGACTAATGGCCCCAAGTGTAGCCTGGTCACGGCTAGTGAGAATGATATGGCCCCAGGATGCGTTTGGGAAGTACTCCGTAATTTTAACGGACACCAAGTTGTCTACTCCGTCAAATATTAACAGCCAATCGCGATTTGTTTGCCTGGAGAACCACCGCTTAAGAGAGTCCACTTTGTTAGGTTCTTTGGCGGAAGCGGTACCAAGAGGCAGCATGTCATAAATCCGGTGGAAATCTGCAGTTAATGCCGTTTGTGAGGAAGCATTGAAAAATGCAACTCCAGACTTGTATCTCGAACGATTTCGAAATGCGTATTCTACAGCTGTTTGACTCTTTCCAGAGCCTCCTATAAAAAGGTTAGCTTAATTCCCAAATACTTAACAAATATAGAGCCCTACCCAAGCCAGATATTACATAAACTCGTGGTTTATTGCAGTTAGATTGTCCAAAGTATGATTCCATCTCACTTAACAGATTTTGTCGTCCCTGGAAAGTGATGCAGCGGGCAAACGGTACTTCAAAAATAGGTTCATGGGTTGTCGTGATTCCTATTTTTGGAGTTATTGCACCTCTTGGCTTTAAGGGAGAGCATGGTATTGGTGTTGCCTTTTTTGCCTTGATATCCTGGTAGAATTGAATGAGCTGTGAAACAACAGGACGAAAGTTGCGGTCATCAGCCGAAGAGAACCGGCATATATTTCGATGATCAGCATATAAGTTAATGTTGACCTCTCCGGGAACCAACAGTCTAGCTGATCGCCTTTTGATAATCTATAACCGTAATTAGAACAGAGGGTAACTAAGACAAGGAAGAAACATCATTCATACGTGAGTGTTGAAAAGCCCGAACGATGTGGAATATAATTCATAAAATGATACTATGTGGAGCTTCGGTACTCTCTGGAGGAAATCTTCTCTAATTTCAAGAAGGGTATTGGAGTCCACACGGAGTATATCTAGCAAATTTTGAGCTGGATTAAGAGGGGATATCATTGTCGCAAATTTAGCAATTGCTCTGCCGGTTGTTGCAAGATCACTTCCATCATTCGGGGTAGCTATTGCACTTCAGTACTCATTCCTTCACGGAGTTCTTATCAAATCCTAAATATATATTTGGACGTACCTAAGAAGAGAATGCCGTATGTTGCATCTTGGATCGCAGTCCGAGCATCCACAGTTCGAATAGAAAGCGCCTATCAGTCTTTGGGTTAGCAGGTAGGTTATTGGGATAAGAGTAGTTGAGAGAAATAAAGAAAACCCTAGCACCTTTTTCACAATAATACCCCCTAGGCTATGGCATACAAATACTACTGGCCGCGTTGGTGATACCTCAAGATGTCTCGTTAGCTGGTCACCGTACCACGATAGATGCAGTATCTGGCCATACTTACATTGGTCCTCAAGTCAGCAATCTCAGCAAGTAAGGTCTCGCAGATACACCTCAGGTCCTGATCTCCGGTAAAGTTGGTGAATTTAGAATTATAACCAAAGGTCATAATCCGGGCATTTGGTAAGCTTGAGGGAAGTAAGTCTTTGAGCCACATCACTCCGGTGTCTCTGTGTTTCCAGGATATGAAGGCATCTCCATTGAGTCCGTGGACAGCTACTAGACTGAGCAACCAGTTAGTTATACCCACACATGATGTACACAGAGAGTAGACACGACTCACTCAAAGACAATATCCTCAGCCTTCTCTGGGGAGTGAAGTACCGTTAATCCATATGTGCCTGACAACTCTTTGTTGGTCGGCATCCTGACTTCGGTAACTGATTATCAATCGAGAATGCAGTTAAAAGGCGATCGAATGTGACCATAACAGTTCCACCTCATATACGTGATGAGCGACACCAGGTATCTATATGCTCACATTTACACGGGGTTTGTCTTGGAGCATCTCCATACAAATCCAGAGCAACCATGGCTGTTATAAAGGCCCAGGTTGCAGGATAAAAATAGTTAGACGGGCGCTAGTTATGGTGAAAGTGGCCTGCATGCATTCCGTATGGATAAGAAGGCCTGCAGCGCAAACAGTGAACACTTGTTTGATGGCTGCAGAACCCATGTTCCGCGCCTGTAAGGAAGGGTCATAAATTTAGTCCTCGACCCGCCCCCTGAGTGGCTTTGAGGGCTTCCATTGGCCCCCAGCACATTCTTCTAAGCGCCCACGATCATGCAGGTGGTTCAACTTATCTGTTGACGTGTAACTTAACTAAGTAGTTAGTTATCAAACCGCCGAGCCAACAGGGGGAGCCCCCAACTAAGTTAGTTAATTGGCAGCAGAGGGAGTGGTTACATATCTTTGACAACATGTTACTTGGTCCTGTGCACTCAGCAACCACTTGAGAGTTAACAAACTCGGTGTTTTAGTTAACTAGTTAAGTGACAGACTCTGCCGAGGAGTTGCTGATGACTTAACTAACTGATTATTGGCGCTTTCCAGGCATATTTCCCTCGCTGTTCGTCGATGCAGGCCAGTTTTCAATCCCCTAACTAGTTAGCGACCTGGTTGGCTCTTCAAAATGCATCACTAAGGGTTAACCAGCCATTGATTCGTTAATTGGAGCATATCACTTGCATGGTTGTATTAAAAGGCAAGGATTGTGCTGATGACAGGGGTGTACAGCCCACAGAGGATCTCATCATGTGAGTCAGCCCGGCGGTTAGGCAGTTGAAGAAATATATATTAATGGGTGCTGGTTGATCAAACGACAACTTTTGGCATTCCGCAATGGTCTTTCGACTATCACATACCTGGTTTCGAAGATATATTCATTCAAACGCCAGTTGCTTGGTCAGAGCGATGGAGGGAACCGTAGCACATCCGACATATCATGTACGCAGGCTATTCTCTCGTCCAAACCCGAACCATTCATTATCAAGGGTTCAGCTCATGAACGGTAACTGAGTAGGATGCCATTCAAAGGCTGAACTCGACACAGACGGGGTTCAAAATACTGGAAGAGAGGAGGCGATTAGAACAGAAGCTGGACGCCTCTGGTGTTGAACAGATGCGTCAATGGCTTCGGCGTGTAGGCCATTCGGTAATGATATCTCATCGAGTCCAGTATAGTTAACTTGTTATGCTGATTCCATGCCTAGACGAAAGCCCTGGACCGCCTAAATATCGTCCATGTGGCTGGGACCAAGGGAAAGGGGTCAACCTGTGCCTTTGTCAATTCCATTCTCGAACAGTACCGTGCTACAACAGGGGCCCCGGAAAAGGTTGGAATGTACACATCTCCCCATCTTGTGGCTGTACGTGAGAGGATCCAGATCAACTCGAAACCAGTATCCGAGGAGCTTTTCACCAAGTACTTCTTTGAAGTATGGGAAGCGCTTGAGTCGTCAGCAGTGAGGGAGGGCCTCGACCCAGCAATGAAACCCTCATACTTCCGGTTTCTGACGCTGATGTCCTTCCATCTATTCCTGAGGGAAGAGGTGACCGTTGCCATTTATGAGGTTGGAGTTGGTGGTGAGCTGGATTCAACAAACATCATAGAACAACCCGGTGTAACTGGAATAACCTCGCTTGGGATTGACCATGTTGCGACACTCGGCCACACTATCGACAAGATTTCCTGGCACAAAGCAGGCATCATGAAGACCGGATGCCCAGCATTCACAGTGACCCAGGTTCCCGAGGCCATGTCTGTCCTTAAGAGGAGAGCGCAGGAGAAAGGGGTCACCCTAGGCCTTGTTGAATTAATACCTGCTCTTCGACAAGTAGATATCAAACCAGCTGAAGACTTCCAGCGGCAAAACGCATCTCTTGCCGTGATTCTGTCCTCTGAGATACTCCGGAAGCTCAACATTGCGCCGGGTATCGACTTGGAGAGCCTCCCAGTCCAGGTTGCCGAAGGGCTCCAGAGAACGGTATGGAAAGGACGATGCCAACTCATAGACCGCAACAATCAGCAGTGGCATCTTGATGGTGCGCACACGCACGAGAGTCTGCAGGTTGCCAGCTCCTGGTTTGGCCGTCTTTGCCAGAACACGTCAGTATATTCCCCTGGGATCTCTCTCGCAGCTCCACGGTTTGACACCAAACCCGTCGTCTCTGACCATCCACGCAATATAGGGCCGAGCCGCGAATTCTCATCTTCAACCAGCAGTCTCAACTCCGGGATGTTGACGGGCTCCTTAGCACAGTGCATGATGTCGTGTACAACCGGATGGGTTTAAATTTTCAGCATGTTCTGTTCTGTACAAACATCACATACAAAGGCAACGAATATAAAGTTGGTACGTGTTTGGCGAGCATCCATCCATCCAGACCAGCCACAGAGTTAACCAGCAGATATGTTTGCAGATTTTGTAGATAAGAACGTTGACCCTGAGGAACTAAAAAGCCTAGTCTTCCAGAAAAAGATGGCAGACTGCTGGAGCAAGCTTGACCCAGCTTCTCAGGTCTCTGTGCTGCCGTCTCTTCAAGAGGCCGTCGAGCTGGTTGACCAAATCGACGGCGGCACAAAGGGAACAAAGGTCTTTGTATGCGGGAGCTTCCGTCTGGTTGGCGGGATGCTCTCGCTCCTGGACCAGGAAGTCTCGGATGTACGGTGAGTAGTTAAAAGAGGCCCTCAGTCGCGGGATGAAGGGCTGGCTTAGAGATGCATTTCCTTTGTTTGAATGTAGCTGTGGCGTTTTGTCAACGGCTTTGTAGATAGATATAACTATGGACCATGCGGCCTGACTGGATAAATAACCCCTAGCTTCAACACCTGCAATAACAAACGCTCTAAACCATAGTTACTAGTGATAAAAACTGAGGGATCAACTGGAATAAACAGTATAGAAACTAGCGGTTGTTATGGCAGGTTCTGGCTGATTATCAGAACACCCGAAAAGACTAGATAAATCTTCAATATTCTTTTTAGTTAATTGCTAACAATATATCAAACAGCAGACCAGGCCTTCAATAACGAGAAAAGGCACGAAAACACAGGCTGAACATAAAAGGCCGGTACTTGCTGCCAGAAAGGAAAAAATACAAGTCTAAAAACGCCACCCTCTCATAACTCGCCAGCCGAGTGCCCGTCTATCACTTTACATGCCTGAAATAAGAGAAAACAGATGGAAAGGAGTGGGAAGGGGGTAGTAAAAAAAAGGAGTGGTAGTGAGAAACCGGGCAGGATGGCAAGGGCTGAAGAGGAGAAATTGTCATGATACTAATAGAAAAGGGGTAGGCTGAAATCGTTCTGTGTGCAAGTATCGTTATGCA